AGATGGTTGCTATCACTGAGCAGCAGTGAGATCTGCACAAGTCTCTTTTGGCCACCTTGGCAAGTTGCATCCTTGAGAGCCATGCATGGCTTAGCACAGGGAGTATCCCATCAATACACCAGAGCATGAGCTGCAGTGTGAGTTGAGGAGCTCAGGATCTCATCTGAGACCAGGAAAGCTGTTGCTAAGATCTCTACTGTGTAGATCCCCTGTACTTAGCACTGGTGAGGCCACATCTCAAATACTGTGTTCAGATTTGGGCCCCTCATTACAAGAAGGACATGGAGGTGCTGGAGCATGTCCAGAGAAGGGCAACGGAGCTGGGGAAGGGTCTGGAGCACAAGTGTGCTGAGTTCACAGCTGAGGGAACTGGGGTTGTTGAGGCTGGAGAAAAGGAGGCTGAGGGGAGACCTTCTGGTTCTGTCCAACTCCCTGAAAGGAGGATGGAGAGAGGTGGGGGCCAGTGTCTTCTCCCAAGTAACAATTGATAGGACGAGAGGAAAGGGCTTCAAGTTGTGATAGGGGAGATTTAGTTTGGATATTGGGAGAAATTTTTTCACTGCAAGAGTTGTCAAGCATTGGAACAGGCTGCCCATGGAAGTGGTGGAGTCCCCATCCCTGGAGGTATTTAAAAGACGTATAGATGTGGTGCTTAGGGACATGGTTTAGTGGTGGACTTGGCAGAGTTAGGTTTTCAGTTGGACTTGATCTTAAAGGTCTTTTCTAACCAAAATGATCCTATGACATGTGTTGCTGACACTGTGACCCCAAACAGCCAGGGTGTCCAAGTTCTGGAACAGGTACCCTAGAAAACACAGCAACTGCAAAACACTCCAGGGGCTGTGCTGAGTGGTTGGCACATGATAAGCAACTGTCTTCAGCAGTAGAAGATAGAGATGTGTGTTTCTCCAGGATTCAAAATATTTCCTTGGGAAAAAAAAAATGTTATCAAAACAGATGCCAAAGGCTGGGGTGTTCAGTAGCCTTTGCCTGGTAATTAATCATACGTATGTCTAATTTGCCTTATTAAACTTGGTTGTTATGCTAATATATTCCCTGTGAAAGTCAGAGAAATTGCCTTTCCTGTGCTTAATTCTCCTTTGAAGGTTCCGGGAAGATTTTCTAGTACCTGAAGGGGCTCCAGGAAGGGTGGGGAGGGACTCTGGACAAGGGCAGGGAGTGACAGAACAAGGGGTGATGGCTTGAAAGTGTCAGAGGGGAGATGGAGATGAGATGTGAGAAAGAAATTCTCTGCTGTGAGGGTGGTCAGACACTGGCCCAGGTTGCCCAGAGAAGCTGTGGCTGCTCCTCCCTGGAAGTGTTCAAGGCCAGGTTGGATGAGGCTTTGAGCAACCTGGTCTAGTGGAAGGTGTCCCTGCTGCTGGCAGGGGGCTTGGAACTGGATGAGCTTTGAGGTCCCTTCCAACCCAAACCATTCTATGATCTGGAGCATGCAGGTTGTTGGTACAAAGGCAGACCATATACTTGCCAGGTGACACCTCTGCCTATTCCCACAGTCCTTTCCATTGCTACTGGACTCCTTTTATGTCCTTAACTGAGAATTAAATGTTAATATTATTCAGCCCATGGTAACTACTGTTTTTTTTTCTGCTGTTGGGAATCTTGATCTCTGTGAAGGATGTTTTTGCTCTCAGCAAATAACTGACCCAGGACACCACTTGTCCAAGGGCAGGTGTTCAGCTGTCTGACAAATCTGTGCCTTTCCTCTGTCTGCGGGAGTTGAACATTGCCACAAAAAGCTTAGTGTGGTTTGAGAAACAAGTTGACGTGTTGACTTATGCTACCCAATACTGGTCTATTTACAGGGCTAGCAATGCCTACAATTTGTTAGAGCATCTAGAAAATGCTGAAGTACAAATTCTCATCTGGAGGGATAAGCAGTTGTTCTCCTCAGGGGAAGAGGATGGGGATTTAGCTGATCTAAGGCTAGAGTGTTGCATTCATCAACCCAGAGATGTTTTGGTAGTGTAACTACAGGTGCTGGAAGGATAGATTACATGGGACTGGACTTATTATGGATCATAAATTGTCTCTAAGACTTTTGGCTTATTTTGAGGACATGGTGATGTCACTGGCCATATCTCTATTGCTAAAAGTTTCCTGTAAACTAGCATCTAGTAATCCTCAAGCTACATGAGGTCTGTCCATGTGCAGTTGTGTAAAACACTGCATGGTGGTGATTTAACTCATGAGCATGTTGCCCTGTCTCATCTCAGATACTTAGAGTATTAAGAGTGAATTCGGGAAGTACTATGTTATCTCACAAAGACCTGTCTTCAACTTGAGCTGCTACTTCAGCCTGGATTAGTGTTGTAGGTTTCAGTTTACTGGCAGTTGCAGTGATGTGATCTATCCTCAGCCAAAACTTGATCTGCTCAGAGTAGTTAATACCCAACCCATTGCAAGGATTGTTCATTCAACATAGACTAAGCAGAGCCAAGGGCATAGGCTGAGTTGGGCTTGTTCAGCCTGGAGAAGTGAAGGCTCCGGGGAGACCTTCTAGCAGCCTCCCAGTGCCTGAAGGGGCTCCAAGAAGGCTGGGGAGGGACTTTGGCCAAGGGCAGGGAGTGAGAGAACAAGGGGTGATGGCTTGAAAGTGTCAGAGGGGAGATGGAGCTGAGATGTGAGGAAGAAATTGTTTGGTGTGAGGGTGGTGAGACAGTGTCCCACGTTGGCCAGAGAAACTGTGGCTGCTCCTTCCTGGAAGTGTTTTTGGCCAGGTTTGATGAGGCTTTGAGCAACCTGGTCTAGTGGAAGGTGTCCCTGCTGCTGGCAGGGGGGTTGGAACTGGATGAGCTTTGAGGTCCCTTCCAATCCAAACCATTCTATGATTCTGTCTTGCCATCAACAGCAAGCACTGAAGCCATTCAAGATAATAACTGCTTAGCAGCATCACATCCCTTCTAATAACAAGCTGATCCTTAGACGGAAATGGAAATATGTAAACATGTCCCGGTTTGTTTACAGGCCAACAGCTTGATTTGCATTTTGAGCCAGTAATTATGTCCCTGCTCACTGTAGGTGGGTTGTACTAGGTGACCTTCAAAGGTCCATTCCAACCCAAATCATTCTGTAATTCTATTTCATGATTCTATGATGCTTGTGAAATAAAGTAATGAAGAGAAGTGAAGGAAAACCCACTTGCAAGTGCTTCTTTCTGGAGGTTGTTGAGCATATCAGCAAACGATGCCGTGGGTGGTTCCTCATATAGAAATGAAGTATTTCACTTTGGTTTTTATAGTCGTTTTCCTGCCTGCTTGAATAGCTTAAGCTTCTAAAAGAGTGGCTGTCAACCCCTTCCTTCCTCATTTACTGCTTTAAAAACACTGTGATATTTTTCCTTACCCTTGGACCTGTGGATCCCTGGGATTGTGGTTGGAGGTGTTGCTCAACCAGCCCTTGAGCTGAGCTGTGCTGTGTAAGGCTGGAGCACAGAGCTTCTCTTGAACATGCATGAAGCAGTTATGCAACACACCTGGTGAAGGGTCGATGAGCAACAGTTCAGACCACAGCTTGGTATGTGTTTGCCTGTGGTTTGGGTCAGTTGATCTTTCTCTTATGGTGAACCCATGGGTTTCCCTGTTATCAAACACCACTTCCAGGAATTGGCAGTTTGAAGTGGGGATGTGTATTAGGACCATGTGCTAATGTCTTCTGCACTTTTATGGTCAAGTGACTAGAGGCTTGCTCAGGTGGGAACTGATGTTACCCATTAATCCCTTCCAGCATTCCCAAAACAGCTTCATGTTTGTAGAGGACAACCCTTCCCCTTCCAGGATGCCTAAACTCCATGGGAAACATTAACCTTCAACAAGCTTTGCTCTAAGAGCAAGCAGCAAGAACATTGATTTAAAACCTCCTATTTGAAAGGAAAATATTGTCATCTTTGCTCAGTGTGTAAATGTAACTTCATTTCTATTTTTTTTTTCCTTCTTAGGCACAGGATCGAACATTCTTTCTGCTCTACAGGATTTGTTCTGGTTATCTAAATCCAAAGTAGAGAAACAACTCCAAATCATCTCCGTGCTGCAATGGGTTCTCACTTTCCTTATCATGGGTAAGTAACACATTTTTGGCCTAAAGGAAGGTTTTTTTTGCCTTAATTCTGGAAGAATTTTAATAGAAAAATGTTAATTTTCATGTAAGCATTAATAACTGGATGTTCACTGCAGCAGGATGTTACCTGGGGTGTGTGGATATTGTAGAGCACATTTGCATAGCTTGATATTTTGACAACAAATGACTTTACCTGGCTCTAGAAAACCATAAGAGCTATGGAAAGACCTACTGATCATCTCCTGTCTGTGTCTACCACACAAATAAGACTAAAGCAATTGGAAATATCTCACCTGACTCATTCATGGGAATTTCCACAGAGAATAAATTTCTTAGAAGCAACTGGTAACTGATGCAACTGATTGCAACAGGAGTGCCTTCCTCCAGGCTTAGTCTCCTTCCAAGAAGTTCCAGAGATAAGCAAGAAATGTTTGTGTTAGATCAATAAAATAGCAATAATTTGTCTCTGGGTACTTCTGTCATCTGAAGTCTCGGGCTGCTCTGCTCCACAGTATTGTTGATAAATAAACTGGAGAAAGATGTTGATTGCAGTCAGTCAAGCAAGTCTTGCTGTTCCTTCCCAATTTAGTTTGTGCTAAACCAGCAATATCATTTGTGGGTGGGATGTCTGGCACGCTGGTGGGATGGTGGGTGTAGAGCTGGTGTAATGGGGGGAAGATTTGTGTAGCTGTGGAAGAAACCTCCTTGATGTAGGGCACAAAGAAATCTTGATGCTCATGAAGTCTTAGTCTTGCCTGGTGAAGCAGCTGCCCTACCTGGAGATATTAAAGAACAGATACTTGGAGAAACCATTAAGTGTGAGGTTGAGGTGCTTCAAAGCAGGTAGCTTTGGAGGAAGCTGTCTCAGTCCTACACAAGGGGGATTTTTTTAGCTAAATCCAATTTGATTGAGGATTAATGACATCAAATTGAGACTAAGACTTCAGTATAGAAGGGTCAAAAGGCAAGGGGCTCTTAATGCAAGAGTAAACACAGACCCAAACCTGATGCAACCTTGTTTTCTTCTCTTTCTTGGACCTACACAGGTGTTGCTTGCACTTTAATCCTCATGTACATACTGTGCACAGATTGCTGGGTGATTGCTGCTCTATATTTAGCCTGGCTGGTATTTGACTGGAATACACCAAAGAAAGGTAAAGATTGCAGAATAGATCTTTGCTATTTAAGTGTCCCTGTCCTCAGATTTGGACAAAGCAGCACCTTTTTATAATAAATGAATTCCCTTCTTAGTGGGACTTGGCTGAATCACTGACCAAAAGCATTTTTCAGTGAAACATACAAATATCAGCCCTTGGCATAAGCAGTGACTGCAGGTTTTACTGATGCTGAGGGTCATGTAAGATAAAATACAGTAATATTGTGCCATTGTTGGTTTTATAAGGTTTAGGTTCCTCCTGTAGGTCAGAAAGATCTACATAAAAATTAAAGATCTTGCTGTCCTCTCTAGCTCTTGCAAGGCTCAGATTATGGTGTGACGTGGTTCCCCTATGGAGTCAATGTTGCTGCAAATGAAGCAGAAAGGCTTTTATTTCAAAGAATATCCTGTAGAAACCAGCTCTGAGACCTCACTACAGCAATGACAACAAGCTTTGATGGAAACTCCTTCCATCACCAGATTAGCACAATTCTCCACTGCTTCAAGACCACTGAAATCATCTGGGATCTTGACCTTTCCCAAACTATGAATCTGAGGTTAACACTGAGCTGTTTCTAGCTTGAACTGCCCATTATCCACCTAAAACTTAAGATAAAGTCAGGTCCTACCCTGGATTTGAAGTCAGGCCTTAATTAGCCTGAAGAACTCTGACTAGGGATGGATTCACCTGATTTTAGTGAAAGATGCAGGTGTCCCATTTAAAGGAATGAAATTGTTGAATTCTCTAGTGAGACAGCAAGCTCTTGGGAGTCCTCTAGGTTTTTTGGTGGGCACCCATGTGGAAAGAGCTTTAAAAACATGATTTTTTTTTTTTTTTCTCTCCTAGGTGGAAGAAGATCCCAATGGGTGAGAAACTGGGCCATATGGAGGTACTTCAGGGATTATTTTCCAATAAGAGTAAGTAACAGTTTAACTCTACACATTGAGACTTAGTTGTTTTAAGATGACTTGTAATAATCCCTGTGGAGTTGATATTGGACCTACACAAGTCTATCCATGACACTGAACTAAGCAGGACACAGCTAACTTACCATTGCTATGTTACTGCTTGGAACAGCTGTGGTTATAAAATCTGAAATGCATCACCAGTGGTGGTATCATGATTTATAAAATATACTGCTTCTGATGGCTTTATCACCAGATTTCTTGAGGCAATCTGCCCTGTAGCAGTAAGGCTCCTGTCCATCTCCCCAACTTCTCCTCTGTGCTGCAGCAGTCCTGCATTGTGTCTAGCTCTACCTGTGTTTCCCTCTCTAGCTCAGTTTTGGTCTGATTTCGAGTTACATCCATAAACAATAGTGTAATGGGTAAGAATAGCTGAGAATCCTTGTGGTGGGTTGACCTTGCCCGAGTTCCAGGTGCCCACCAAGCTTCTTTACCACCTTCCTCCTCGGCAGAATGGGGAGGGGAGAAAAGATGGAACAAAAACCCAAACTCTTGGGCTGAGACAAAGGCAGTTTAATAGAAACAAAGCAAAGCTGCACGTGCAGAAGCAAAAGAAGAGCAAAATATTTATTCTCTACTTCCCATCAGCAGGTGATGTTTGGCCACTTCTTGGGAAGCAGGGCTTCAGTGTATGTGTAGTGGTTGCCATGGAGGACAAATGTAAATAACAAATGTCCTCCCTTCCCCCTCTGTTCTCCTTGCTTTTATTTCTGAGCAGACATTATATGGTATGGAATATTTGGTCAGTTTGGGTCAGCTGTCCTGGCTATGTCCCCTTCCAAGATTTTCCCAACGCCAGCCTACTCCAGGGGGGAAATGTTGGAGAGCCATCCTTGATGCTGTGGGAGCACTGCTCAGCAGTAACCAAAACACTGGTGTGTTATCAACACCTTTCTAGCTACTAATACAAACCACAGCACTGTTGAGGGCTGCTACAGAGAAAATTAACTCCATCTCAGCCAGACCCAACACAACCCTGTGCATCAAAAGTCCTACCACTTCATAGGGAGCAGTGAAATCAGCTCTAAAGTCTGGCTGCTTTGAGGAAGAGGGCTTCCCAGCAGTGGAAATAGCTCCATTCTCCACCTTGTAACCTTGTGCTTGTGTTTCCCTGGTATTTCAGATGTGTTGCAGACAGAGGACAGGGCTGCCAGTCTGCTCTGGGGACTGCAGAATTAGCTGAAGGACTTGGAAGGGAGCAGGGGCCAAATTCAGCTAGAAGGGAACTTGATCCTTTTTGGAAGGACACACAGCTGAAAGGACTATTATGTAAGGTTGTTGGCAAGTTTTATTCAGCCTGAGCAAAAGGAAGGGACCTTGCCATGGCTTTTGATGAACCACCTTTTCCTAAGATAGTCCAGCCTTAGAAGGTATTAGGAAATCCAATTCCAGTAGGAAGCCAAAGTAACATAGACTGGATTCCTCCTTTGCAAAGTCACTTGACCTCTCAGGGTGCCTGAACATGCTGCTGGTGAACAAACCTCTTGCCACACTTGCTGCTGTTAACAGGTAATTCTTGGCAAATGTAGGTTGGAAAAATGGAAAAATACACAACTGCATGGGCTGGAAGTGGTTGGTCAGCTCAGGTCTTGTAGCTAATGGAGAACAGAGCATGCTCTAGTGTTGAAGATGGGTCTCAAATATGTTGTCTTCTCTTACAAAGTCCTCATTATTGCAACAAACCCTGCTGCCTTGATATTGCTGAAGGCTAAAATCACAGAATGGTTTGGGTTGGAAGGGACCTTAAAGATCATCCAGTTCCAGCCCCCCTGCCAGCAGCAGGGACACCTTCCACTAGACCACGTTGCTCAAAGCCTCATCCAACCTGGCCACAAACAATTCCAGGGAGGAGGAGCAGCCACAGCTTCTCTGGCCAATCTGGGCCAGTGTCTCACCACCCTCAGAAGAAAATTTCTTCCTCACATATCAGCTCAATCTCCCCTCTTCCAGTTTAAAGCCATGGCCCCTTGTTCTGTCACTATGTGCCCCTGAAAAAAGTCCCTCCCCAGCCTTCCTGTAGGCCCCTCCAGATACTGGAAGGCTGCTATAAGGTTTCTTAGCCACTTAAAATGCACTAGTTTCTCCTGGGGACTTGATTCAAGGGGATCACCAGTAATAGCTGGTTGCCTGTTTCACCTCTCCTTTGCTGACATTTAGCCTCTGTCTTCATGGAAACATGTTCTGAACCAGCCATGCAGGTCAGATCCACTGTAGATATTAGAAGCTTGTCAAACAGGTGGGTTGTTCAAGTGGGTCTAGAGATAAGATTGGGTAGATAAACTGAACTTCTCTGCTGGTCTGGATAAATACTTGCTAGTTCCCACAGTCCATTTGAGAATCCCTTTATGGCTGAAATTCCTTTGTCATTAAGGGGGTAGAGTTGTGCAAAGTTCACAGAGCCCACTGGTAAATCGTATGCAAAGAGAAACACTTGATGGTTGACAGCTGTGGGATAACTTCTGCACCTGCTATGGAGAAACAGTCAGCTGGCTGCATGTTTGTTAAAACCTGCTGCAGGGACCATGGATGCTGGAGCTGGTTGTCTGCAATTATGGACATGAATATAATCTCTTGTAAGGAGTGGTACCAACCACTACAGCAGCTTTGAACTTTCTAGGAGAACCAGGGTTTGAACTTTCTAAGAGATCAGGAACTCCTTGGATATGATTTACCTGTCTTCAGTCAAGAGGGAGACTGGTCTAGAGGTGACCACTTATTTAAATCTTCCATCTGCAAAATTCCCCGTGACTGGATCCAGAATTGTCTGTGTAATGGTTTAGCAGAGCTTGGTTTGTCTTTCTGGCTTGTGGTTTGTTGGGGTAGTCATCTGCTGTACCTCATCTTGTGCCATGTGTCCACTGAGCATTACAAGGGTAGATGACAGCAGTGACAATCTCCCCGGTGGCATTTGTAATGCTAAACTCAGTGTTTGCAAACTGCACATAGAGCTGGGCAAGTTGCATGTGTGGCAGCATCAGGACCATCTGCTGTAGGATATTAGCTCAGATTTTACTCCTAATTCAGGAAATAAATAAGAAGCAGTCTTGCAGATTTATTTTTTTTTCCCAAAATCCTAAGGCCACCTCCCCAGGATTAGGAAGCAAAGTCCCAGTGGTGGCAGTTGTAGCACTAAAGATTTCGGAGGGGAGGCCCCCTTGTAGGTTGACCAGAGAGGCTGTGGTATCTCCCTCCCTGAAGATATTCAAAAACCATCTGGACAAAATCCTGGGTCATGTGTTCTAGGAGTCCCTGCTTGAGCAGGGTGGTTGGACTAGATGACCTTCAGAGGTCCCTTCCAACCTCAACCATTCTGTGATTCTATAAGAGGCTGCAGGTCTGAAGGCCAGGGTTTCCTTGCACCAAGCTGGTGTGGGCTCAGTCTTGAGGATGTAGGCTGGATTTGGCCAGACTGAAATGCCACCAGCATCACAGAATTCCATAATTGCCTTGATTGGAAAAGACCTTTAAGATCATAAATTCCAATCATGACCCCAACACTGACAAGTCCCCGACTAACCCATGTCCCTGAGCACTATGTCTACATGACTCTTCAATTCCTCCAGGGATGGGGACTCAACCACCTCCCTAGGAAGCTCATTGCCTGATAACCCTTTCAGTGAGGAAATTTTTCCTGATATTCAATCTGAACCTCCCTTGGTGCAACTGGAGGCCATTGTCTCCTGTCACTAGTGACTTGGGAGAAAAAACACACACCCACTTTGAACAGCCCCACCCCCACCTCTCTCCACCCTCCTCCAAGGGACTTGCACAGAGCCACAAGGTCTCCCCTCAGCCTCCTTTTCTCCAGGCTCAACACCCCCAGTTCCCTCAGCCACAAGGGAACTCAGCACACTTGTGCTCCAGACCCTTCCCCAGCTCCGTTCCCTTCTCTGGACACGCTCCAGCACCTCCATGTCCTTCTTGGACTCAGGGGCCCAACACTGAACCCAGCACTCAAGCTGCGGCCTCACCAGTGCCCAGTGCAGGGGGAAGAGAACTTCCCTGCTCCTACTGGCCACACTGGTGCTGAGCCAGGCCAGGATGCCCTTGGCCTTCTTGGCCACCTGGCCACTCTGCTGACTCCTGTTCAGCTGCTGTTGCCCAACACCCCCAAGTCCCTCTCTTCCCAGCAGCTCTCCAGCTATTCCTCCTCAAGCCTGTCACACTGCTGGGGGTTATCAACCTCTGACAAAGCTGCACATTAGAACTTGTGGCTGGATCTGCTGCATCCTTCCACAGCTCTACCTGCTGGCATCATGCTTGCTTTATCAAAGTAGCTGCATGAAAAGCAGGCTTGGCTGTGACATTTTTTATTATGATTATGCTTGGTTTCTACCTGAGTTAGCAGGTGGAAATTCCCATCCTGAAAGACCAGTAGGACTATTGTACCTGTATCTGGAGATACCAGGTTATGTTGTGTAAAACCAGGTGGATGTGAGAATTTGACTCAATTCCTCAGCATGAGCAGAAGTTGTCCATGTTCACTGGGGCTTCAGGCAGCTGCTCTGACAGTAATGAGCTATTTTAAGGCACTAGAAGCTTAAGCTTGTCTGCTGCTTAGTGGCTGGCTTTGTAAATAGTGCTTTAAGCTAAGCTGTGCCTGAAGCAGCTGAGGAAGCTTCCAGGGAGTTAAATCCTGGTGCTGAACTGCCAGGTGAAGCCCAAGTTCTTGTAGCTGTGAGCATGGTGCTGTGTGCCAGACTGGACTCAACCCCATTGCTGCAGAGATAGGCAAGGTCCCAAGGACAGGGATGTTCTGGAGAGAGTCCAGTGGATGCCACAAAGATGATGAGGAGCCTGGAGCATCTCCCGTGTGAGGAGAGGCTGAGAGAGCTGGGACTGTTCAACCTGGAGAAAAGCAGCCTGAGAGGGGATCTGATCAATGTCTATAAAGATCTGAAATGTGGGGGCCAAATGGATGGGGCCGGGCTCTTCTCGGTGGTGCCCAGTGACAGGACAAGGGGCAATGGGCACAAACTGGGACACCAGAAGTTCCAGACAAACTGAAGGAAAAACTTCTTTGCTGTGAGGGTGCCGGAGCCCTGGGACAGG